TAATGCTTCTTGTCTCTGACATAATGTCTTAAGGAACTAGCAATGATAAGTTTTTTTATGTGTGTCCCCATGCTGGACTAAGAAAATGTTTAGTGGACATGTCCTTTATCTGTTATCTTAGTGCTGACAGCCATGAGTTGGATGACATTCAGTCGCATGCCACTGGTATCTGGATTTTTAAATTTAATGTCCTCAGTGCCTTCAGCAGATGAATAAATCCACCACTGCCTAGAGTTATTTTCAGTCTTTAAGGCTTGTTTTAGCAGTTTATTCATTCTTTTAATTAATTCATCAACTGCTGGATTGTGTGGCAGGTGGAAAATCTGAAATATGTCTGGGTTTTGAGACCACTGTTATATTTCATGGCCTATAAAATGTGTTCCTTGATCACTCTCAATTACCTTGTAAATGTCCGGCGAACCGTTGGATGAAGAGACCACAAGAGACTGGATTCATGCAATAAGCAGGAAGGAGTTTATTGAGGATCCAATTCAGCGTGGTGAGGCTCCAGGCAGGCTCGCTCAAGAAGTGAGAGCAGCCCAGAGCCCCGAACAGAGGTCAAGCAGTGCTTAAGTACACTTTTTGGGGAGGGCAGGGGCTTTGCATACATCAGAACAAATCATCATGAGGCGCCGGAAAATTGAACAACAACTCTGAGACATGATTAGTACATTCATTGGCAGGAACAGATTGGGCGGGGGTGATTGGTCACTCCTAAGTGGGGTACACATTTAAACTGATTGGTTTAAGTCTTGCGATGCCTATGTGCCAGGCTACACAGAATCCCAGGTTATTAGACAACCAGAGGATCAGGAGGAATATTTACTGGGCAGTTCGGGTATTGTCCTAACAGCTACAGGAATTTCAGGTTTTGGGGGTAGCAGAAGAATTTTAACAATACCTGGTCTTTTACTTTTTAACTCAGGCCTTGCAGCTTAGAAACTTTACAATGCCCAGTCTTTTTACACTTTAACTCAGGCTTTGCAGTTTAGAAACAGCTTAGAAATTTTACCCTTAAAACCTGTGGTGTGCCATATGTGGCACTCAGTCAACTCAGTGGCTTTTGATTGGTTCTTTTCCAGAGAAATCTTTTATCAAGTCTCTAACTGTGTTTGCACAAATCAATGTATATTTGGCTCCTTCTGAAATGGAAGAAAACCAATGTAGTCTATTTTGCCTTTGCTGAATAGGGATAGCACCTCATTTGATATAACTCTCAATGGCATCCAGTTGTTCTAGGTAGCACTGAGAGCAGGCAAGACAGCTCTGGCATGCAGACACCTTTATGGAAGTCCTCAGGATGTCAGAAGTGCCCACAAAGTCTGCATGCTTTAATCTACACAGTAGCCAAGTAGCAATCTCCTCTGCGGGAGCTTCTTCTAACCATCTTATCTTTGACAATTCGTGACCTTGACTGGTCCTTCTCTGATGATAGGCTTTCTGGCAAGAAGGGAAATATACGTTTCAACTAGTTATTTTTCCAACAAGCTATAGCATTCTTACACCTTCCTTCAATAACTCTGACCAAAATCCAATGAGGATCTTATGTCCCTTAATTCACTTCCAAAATCCCCATCCAAGGTCATCTAGAATGGTAGCAATGGTAAGCTAAACAGGTTTTTATGTGTCTAGTATCCCAATGTGTGTGTGTCTGCTTTATTACTTGGCCTGATTGAATCCATAAGTATTCTGGTCAGTTACATCTCACACTGTAACCCTCCTATACAAATTATACAGAGGTTATAACAACTGAGCTAGGTGAGGGATGAGAGCCTCTAATAGCTCAGTAGCCCCACACATTACTTTATTCCTTTACTGTGTTAGAAAATGGAAATAAATGAATTTTATATCCTATAACCTCAGGTATAAACTTTGTCTTACTCAATCAGCCAACAGTCAAGAGTTTCACCAATAAGCCAGAGCCCTGCACTTTGTCAGAGTTCATGGCCCATCCTCTCCACTAAATAAGTCAAAAGTATGGAGGTAGCCTGGGTGAGAACCAAAAGAGAATCAGATGTGACTATTATGTAAACATTTTTACTTAGGGAAACAAGGGTCAGGTTCATTACCATACTGTGACACATGGTGGGGCTGTGGAGATATCCTTGATGTAGAAGCATAAGCACCCATTGTCAGACTTTCCATATGAAGGCAAATGGATCCTGACCTTCAGGGGCTATATTTATGATAAAGAAGGCATTATCAAGGTCAAGTACATAATGATATGCTTCCAAGTGAGTATTAAGCTCCTCCACGATAGTGACTATGTTGGCAATAGCGACATAAAATGGAAGGATCATATTATTTAATTCCCTAGAATCCATTTTCAAATGCCAAGTTCCATCTTGCTTTCTTACTGGCACTCGAGGGAATTAAAACTGACTTGACTGAGTGAATTATGTTTACTTTAGTCTATTCATGTATGGTCTCCATTATCTGTTTATGATCACTGGGGAGCTGATATTGTTTGCAGTAAACGATTTGTCAGGGTGCCGGCAAAACAATGGGGCGATGTTAGCATGCCCTCTCAATATTGGCTATACAATTGATGAATGCCTAATCCCCCAGAAAACCTCCCCTATGGTAATTTGTAGACATTTACCCCATCAGATATCAGCACCTACAATGTATTTAGAGATGGGAGATATGAAAACCAGGTAGGGAGTGGGTGGCAGGTGCTCAAGCTGCAGCATCAATATTATAGCTAAGACTCTCGATATTTTTTACCTATATCCATCAATATCCATGAACATGCCTGAGAACCTGTCAGGATGTGCATTCAGCTCCCATGTCCACTGACGCTGTTACTCTCTGAATATTTTTTGATATTGCCAATGTATTGTCAGTTCTATGCATGGTCTTTCACCCAGAAACTTGGCTCAGACCCCTGAACCTTGATCTCTTTCCTAGTAATCCCACAATCAAGAGCTCAAGGACTACTCACAGGAATTTGTGGGATCTGCTTTCATTACATCCTAATTAATAGGAAAAACTTGTCTTTGTCTCCTTTTGGAGTTAACTCCATTCTCGTCTCCTTTTTTTTTTTTTTTTTCTTATTGAGAGGAAATGACTGAAAACTGTCATCCTTTGGCAGTGGCTTTCATAACTGTACCGGGGTGGCATTGGGTTGTTTATCTATTCATCTTTCATCCCCTCCTGCTGTTATTAAGTCTATCCAGATGAGTTTATTGAAGAACTGAAGATGCCGTTTGGGATGGGTTTTATAAACTCTCATTTTCTGCCATAATCTTTCTGTCTCCCCAATATCCCTTATCAGTTTATATATATGATTGTTTAATTAATAAGATAATTTTAAATAAGCTGTCCAAAGTATACAAGGAGAGAAATATCCTCCCAAGTTATTTTACAAGACTTGTATACTTTGATATCCACATATGGAAAAGAATGTTTAAAAATAAAAATGGCAAGTCAATCTCTCTCTCACAAATAGAGATGTAAACATCTTAAGCCAAATATTAGCAATAGACCTAGTGATGCATAAAACATTAATAAACGTAAACTTGAAACAAGACATTGGTTTTTGATGTTAAAAAGAATGAAGCTTGCCACATTAGTAAGAGAAGACCTGCTAATTATCTCAAAAAGAAAAGCAGCCAATCATGAAAACAACTTAACAGAAAAAAAGAACTAAGCTTCTATAAACTGATAAATCTGAAGCCAACAGAATATTTAGTAAAGAAGAGAGCATTCACTATCACATCAGAAACAATTTTAACCAATTTTATTTGGCATTGTACTAACTGTTCTAGCCAGCTCAGTAATGTAAGAAAAATAATCACAGGTTTATCACTACTGACAAGGAAGGAATGCAGTTTTCATTATCTTCATGTAGTGATTATGGTAAAAATACAAAGAAATACCTCCCAATAAATTTTTATAATATCAAGTTTCTGGGTACAAAATCAATATATAAAAAAGTGCACTACATTTTATTTACTAGCCATAAAAATCTATTTAAGTACCTCACTAGGAAAACACAATGAAGCTTAGTGTGGGTCGTTCCCACTTAAGTTAAAATTACTATGAAATATCCTACTACAGTTCAAAGAAATGCTTTTTAAAAAATTATCCATAGCACTGACTTCTACTACTTTGTCTGACTTCTACTACTTTGTTTCAAATTTTGCTTATGATTGATACAGTGATTGAAATTCACTTGTGACTATTTCTATTACCACAAATTCCACTCAAAACAGCTATTATGATGAAGATTTTTGCCTTCAACTTTGTTTGGGTTTTATTTTAATTACTCTTGAGATCAAATTTTCCTCAAAATAACTTTACTTTAGAGTATAGGGTTTAAAAGTAAGTTTTAGTGTATTTCATGATTGTTAATATTCATCTACTAAATTCTATTAGTTTAAGCTTGTTATCAAAACTGAAGTTTGTTCTTCTGTGTAGTAAACATTGTGCACTGTGTGATTTGGTTTAGAACTAGTTTCTTTAGATCTTCAACAATGTATTTACTGATAAAATGTTAGCTTGGCATCATTTGGCTTCCTATGTTATTATTTTAATAGGAAGAATGTGCTTCCCAAAGCAGTATTCTATTTATTTAATATTAAGAAAGAAATCTCATGAATATTTTAATATTTATCCTTAAGTTTAATGGAATTTTGTGAAGTCCTAATTGAATATTAAATGACTTAAAATATCATTTACAAATTATTGAGGTTTATCTTCATTTTCAGAATGCTGAGCTAGAAGTCATTCTAAATGATGATTTCCTACTTCACTAGCTAATATGCCAACACATCATATCAACTGCTGGGATATAACCCATATTTTAATAAACAAGGAATATCTGGTGGAACTCGTTGTTAGCAGTGGAAACAACCAAAGGTAAAGAGGCTTAGACAGTTCCTTGTCTCACACTTCCAGGAGTAGAAAGATGGTATACCTTTCTGGCTGGAGTGGAGAATTGTTGGGGGATTATTCTTTTCAATAGATCCTCTACAATTGAAATTTCTTTTTCCCAGGAAGAATATCACCAGAAATACAACATACTATATGTGAAGATGACATGGTATCAAAACAATAATGGTAAGAAGTATTGGTAAAAAGCATTACTTTTAAAGAGTTTTGTTAGTGCAATATAGTTATATATAATATTAGGGTTCATTTTGACATAATTATGTATGCATGGAATATAATTTTCTCCAATCCCCAATACTTCTTCTTTCTCTTCTCTCCTCTCTCCTTCTCTCTTCGTCTACTACACTGTCTTCTTTATTTATATATAAATTGGTGCCTTATAGATATACACAAAGGTGAAATTCACTGGGGTGCGTTCATATATGTACATAGCATAATTTGATCAATTTCATTCTATAGTTCCTCCCTTTTCCTATTCTTACATTAGAAGTAATCTTCTCAAGTAAGGTCATATTTTGGAAAAGTGCAACTCATGTCTTCCTACAAACACCATCATTTTTATAAAAAAATAAAATAAAATATATGCTAAATTGTGACTTTATTTCACCTCTTACCATTAGTCATTAATGTGTTATATAGTCTATTTACTCTTTTTCTTACTATTTTATAATAATGCTTCATGAAGGTACAGATTTTTACCCTTTTGATCACTAGGGCCTAGCACAAATAAATGTTCAGTTTTCATTTTTTTAATTAATGATGGAGGTTTCCAAAATCATTGCAATATTGGAAAGAAAGAATTAAGAAGGCTAGATTTACTGATCATCAAATTTAGCCCAAATTGTTCCCCCTAATATGAAGTGATCATGACTTTTACTTTAACTTTTTCTGCTAGTTTTAAAACTTTTACTCTAAATCACACCTAAGTCACTCATACATACAGTTCATTTGTTCTGTGCTTGACAATACTGCTTCTATAGCAGTCAGCAGAAAAGAACTGATTGTAGTAAATTTGTTTGAAGCTCATTTCCAATTTCTGATTAAGCTGCTTTTATTGGACTGAATTGTGATGATAATAAGAATTAGCTAAGAACAATAATATAGCCGAAATTGATCAAAAATAGTCTTCAGAAGATTATACTAAAATATAAATTATATAGACTCAAAGTATGTGCATTAAGATAAGCATTTGATCAAAAAGCTGCTATTGAAATGTTTTCTAAAATGATGATTAATTTAGTAAAATTCTGAGGCAAATTGTGGTGAAGGTTTTATAGGAAAACTGATTTTAATTAAGAGTATAAATGGCCCCAAGGTAAACAGTGTGTGTTCTGCACCTTTTGAATTGGAAGAAAGGGTTTTGAATCTCGTTCCATCTCAGATAAAGAATGACCTACATTTTCTGTTTTCTAAATTATTGCACACATTTTATAAAGGACTGGCCAAGGAAATCCAAATTACATAGGCATGAAAGATGGCTTTCTTTGTCTTTGTTCATTGTAAGTTTTATTTAAAAAGTGAATACAGTACCACTCTGAACACTATAAGCTGCACACAGCCATCTCCTGTGACTGAGGACAGGGAGATTGACTGATTGAAGTCCACAAATAATCAGAAATCTCATTTGTACTATATTTGTAAACTACTCCTTTATCAAACCCTGCACTGGACTAGCCTATATAAAAAGAATCTGATATTCTTCCTTCCCTCTGAGAGATAAGGTATTCATATAAAAACTTAGGGAAAGAGAAACAGAACTCAAATCATCTACAGACTAAGTAATTGAAAGGCGAAGCTGGTAGCTTGCTGTGTCTGAGGGTGCTCATTTGTGATTCCCTCAGACACATTTCAGTGACCACACTTCTGCAGTGGGGACATAAATGTGCCACAGTGTTTCCAATAAAGCCAGTTATTAGCCTTCAGAGGAGCATGACAAACACGATAGATTTTTGCTTCTTGATGAAACCGTTGCTAAAGAGTTTGGCTTAAAAAAAAAATGTGTGGTACATGTTCTTTAGTCAATATATTAAAAGCCGGAGATATAAATATTCATTCAACATTATATTTTACCCTCATTAAAAACAATTTTTTTTCTTCTCAGAAACTTAGGAGTGCCTTATAAAATTGGTAAGGTAATGCATTCCATGTGAGGACTTGAGACTCAGTTATATAATCCATAAGACATAAACATTTACTAGCAGTTAAGGGACTGAAGCAGAAAAGGCAGAAAGGCAAATAATCAAAAATGTGGAAATTTCTATATCAATGATTTGAGGGGTTTGCAATTTTCCAGTGCAGCAAAAATATGATAAAAAATTTGTTTTTCAGTGTTTGTTTCTTCTTCTCCTTCTCCTTCTCCTTCTCCTTCCCCTTCTTCTTCTTTCTTCTTTTTTTTTCCAGGGGAGGGGAGTCAGCATTCAGCATTATTTATCACAAACATGTTTAACAAAAGCTAATTTTTTTCCCTCTTTGCGCCACTTGAGGTATTATTCATATCAGAGTTCAAAAGCTAAACCAAAATGACTGTCAAATTTTAATTGAAACAGGATCAATGTCTGAGGAAGTTATTATGAAATTTTGGTTAAGATTTCCTGTGGTGGAAGCAGATTTCATAACAAACATTTAAGGAAAACTGACACCATGTCTATTACGGACCATTCTTCTCAAAAATTTTGATAATGTTGCCAATTCTATATTAACACTTAAAGTATACAACTGAGAAAGAAGTTTTATTTTGGATTTCCTTAACAAATGGACAGTAAGTGATGCTTATTTCTTGTATCAAGTATATCTCATTAATAAATTATGGCATTTTAGTGTGTCAAACTTTGGACTTTTTTGGCAGTGGAGAGTACCAGGAATTGAACTCAGAGGCACTGAGCCACATCCCCAGCCCTATTTTGTATTTTATTTAGAGACAGGGTCTCACCAGTTTGCTTAGTGCCTTGGTGTTGCTGAGGCTGGCTTTGAACTCATGATCCTCCTTCCTCGGCTTCCTGGGCTGCTGGGATTATAAGCATGCACCACCATGCTTAGAAAATTTTGAATTTTGATATCCAGTCTGAACTCAGGAAGAAAGAGGGTCCTGATCCATTGGCCATATCTTCCAAGGGCAGAAAATGAGAATATCCCTCTAGTTCTAATATTGGAAGTTCAATAGAGTCCCTAATTAACTATATGTTTGCATATAATCACCTATATAAATAGGTACTGCTCAAGAAATGTGTTTCTTTCCCTCCATTTTCTTCTCCTAAGGGAATGAATCAATTCAAAAGACATTTCTTGGAGAGGTGGTATTAAGCTAATGATAACAACATTTTGAAAAAGTCATTCTACTCTGTCTCACGTTTTTTGGAGGCCTGCATTTGTCCTGAATTAGTGCATTTTCTGCTGCTCTAGCAAAATGCCTAAAAGTGGACATTATGTAAAAAAAAAAGATGTTTATTTAGCTCACAGTTCTGGAAGTAAAGAGCATAGTGCTAATTTCTGATGAGCTCTGCTGATAACCTATTGATAGATAAAAATCACATTGTTAGAGGCACATACAAGAGAGATCACATTGTGAGACAGAAAGCCAGAGTGAACAGACAGGGACTTGTCTTTTATGACAACTCTCTCAGAAATTCATTCACTCTACAGGAAAAGTATAAATTCCAGTTCTCCCTAGTTACCTAATTATCTTGTACCAAGGTCTAACTCTTAAAGGTTCCACTACTGAGAACAAAGCTTAGTAAAAACAATCAAATGTATCCAAACAAAAGCATGCCCTATATCTTTACCCTTTTATGTATATAACTCATATTTGTTAAATTGGTCAAGTATTTTCAAAATGTGTTCAGAATGTAGTATCCCTTTCCTACTGGCCATTTTTTTTTTTTTGGTATCTGAAATATGGAAAAACCACTCTTAAAGCATATAATTAAATATAATTACAGAAGAAGTTACATAGTGGTTAATGGAATTTCAGTGTTAGGGTTTTGATGTGGTTGTCCCTCAGAGGTCCATGTGTTGGAGACTTATTCTACATGTGTTGGTATAAAGGTGGTGGGACCTTTAAAAGGTGGAGCCCAGTGGGAGGTCAGTGAGTTCCACCCTTGGGAGGAACTAAGTTGGTTCTTGTTGGACTTTGAGTCACTTCTTATGAACACACCTTTTTTAAAAGGACTGATCCAGATCCCTGAATCACACTCCAGCTTCCTGTCTGGTGACATGATCTCTTTCCTCCCACACATGCACCTTTCATTATGATGCAGTACATCTTGAGGTCTTCACCAGAGCTGAGATGATGTGTGTGCCATACCCTTGAACTACAGAACTTTTTGTTGTTGTTGTTTAATCCCAGTACTGTAGATTGAGCCCCAGGATGCTTTACCACTGAGGTATATCCACAACCCTTTTAATCTTTTTGTTTATTTTTTTCTATTTTGAGATAAGATCTTATTATTGCAGAGGCTGGCTTCAAACTTGCAATCCTTCTGCCTCAGCCTCGCAGGTCACTGGGATTACAGGAGTGTGTCACCACATCCAGCTAAACCTCTTTCCTTAAAATTACTCAGCCTCAAGTATTTTATTATTAACAGAAAAAAGACTAAAAATGTGTAAAAGTCATTGCATTAAAATGTGTAGAATTCACGTGTGTTAAATTGTTCACATATTTAATACAGTAAGAGCATTTAGTAGCCACAAAGTCTCATGCTCCCATTTCTTTATCAGTAAAATGGACATGATAAATCACAACTCACAAGATTTTTATGTTGATTACATAAAATAATTTTTATAAAGCAATTCTCACCTGTTTTGTATGGAGGGAATTCTTCTTAAATATTTTATATTACTTTTACCAAAGAATAAATTAGGGGAGTGTATTTTTATCACCCTAGAATATGAAACAATTTACCCCACCCAGACAGACTCAGATGGAGAAATTAGGAAAACCATCCTATTCACAAAAGTCTCAAAAAATAAAATACTTGGGAATATGGGGCTTCTTTTTATCCAGACCACTCATATTTAAAGGTCTTGTGCATGGCCTTCAAAGCTCAGGCAACAAGCTCCTTAAGACTTGTCACATATCCTCACCCATGAAAGCTACCAACATTCTCTTCCCACTTGACCTCTCTCCATTCTTCTCTGTACTTTCTGGAACTTAACTGCTTCAGGAAAATCAG